TCAGAAGAGGCTGCATCGGTGAACCTGGCTATTGAGTCGAAAATTTCGTAACGGTATATACACCAGGCATACGTTTTCGGAACACTCCCAGGTAGATGCCCATTGAAAGGAGCCGTTCTTACAGAACTGATTGTGTTGATTGTTGATGCTCTTAGAAAGAGCTTTTGTGTAGAGTTGCTGAAAGGTTCATCTGTTCTTTACTTGATTCGAATTTTCCAAGAGGTACGCTTTGGGTGAATGTCCCTAACGACCATCAACGCCAGAGGAATTCAGATTCTTACAGAATGATGGTATCACTAGCTGTAGCTAATCTATGTCGTGAGGTGAGGAGCTGACGCTCTCGGAGGAATTAACATCGGTGAATCTTTCCCGAATTTGAACCAGAATTCCGGCACGGTGTGTTTTTTTCAACATGCTTTTTTGAACACCCCTAAGTGATTCTTTCGGGAAGACGCAACTCTCACTGAACCAACTGAGAGCACGGTTCGTTCTAATTTATAACTTTTCATTTGAAACGGAATTTTCAAAGAAATACGCGTTGCATGATTATTATGGACCTAATGCCATTATACTGCTGCTATTTTCGTTGGTAAGGTAAGGTGAAGAAATTCATCTCTCCGCGGATGTGAAGCAATTTCGACCTTTCCAGTAAGTCTGACACTTTCGAATGGGCCAAACTTTTTGTAATGTATGAACCCCAGTCACAAAGATTCATGTCAATAAAGTGTTAGCCATTATTATAATGTAGTATTCATTTTATATTCATCAAAAGGAAATCTCGGATGGTTTGTACCAACCTTTGTTCCTACTACATAAGAAGGAGGATGCCCTGCGTAGCCGGGCATCCCATAAGAAGGAGCATGCCCGGCGACAGCTGGGCAATGCGACTGGTTGTATTATAAACAGAAAAGCCACTGTCCCGGTAAGACGAGGTTTTTACTATCGCAAATCCGTTGAAAGGGTTCATAAACACCCAATCCACGAAACTCATCGAGTTCATATTGCTGCTACAGACCGATCTTTTTTGTGTGGTTCTGAGATTTATGGGATTTTTCTGGAGAGCGATTTTAACGGTNCAGAAAAGCCACTGTCCCGGTAAGACGAGGTTTTTACTATCGCAAATCCGTTGAAAGGGTTCATAAACACCCAATCCACGAAACTCATAGAGTTCATACAGACCGATCTTTGCTGCTACAGACCGATCTTTTTTGTGTGGTTCTGAGATTTATGGGATTTTTCTGGAGAGCGATTTTAACGGTGGAAAAGTCTTCATGGAAGGCTGACGTATGCTGCTTTATGGTTCTCAAAGCTCCGGCAAACTTAATTTTTTGGTATCGCCGATGTTGAACTTGCATTTTCGTAACGCTGCCTCGCAAATCGTCCAATCACAGAGTTACTGGCTCTTAGCAAGTAGCTCCTGCTGTTGCTAACCCTGTTTATTTGTTGGAATATGATATAAAAAGATTGTTAGTAAGTGGCAAAAGCATTTTCAGAATTTGAACGTCTACATCCATAGGCGTAACATATGAGTTATGTCTACTAGTTCTAATACGATTTCAGCTCAATCTTCATTCACTGAAAAGAAATCCTGCCCAGCAGCCTGTCAGAATGCTGAGTCGCTATCACAAAACGGGTCAACTACAGCAGAAAGGTAGAAGTCAAGACTATCCCGAGTGAATTGTGACACGATACGGTTGCCATTCGATTATGCTCTTTTCTTTTCGAAAAAAACGCAAATTTTTCGCCGAGATGGAATCGATATGTTTGTTTGTAAGAGTGAGGTACATTGGGGTGACTGAATTGAAATGAGGACAAAAAGGTGAAGGGTCGTTTGCAAGGTTCCCTTTGAACTGTCTGAGTTCAAATTCCCTGCAAAGTCCCCTTGGGTTATCCTTACTACATATGTATAATGTGCTCGCGTCTGCCTGCCTGTCTGTCTGTTTGTTCGTACGGAAATCCGTTATTACGTTGAGAAGCAGAATATTACCCTAAAAAGCACATGCAGAAGTCGGATCAAGTCTGGGAGAGGTTGGGCATAGGGCAAGACCAACAGAGCACATTTAGCTCAGCGGAGCTCTGCTGGGCATGCACGAGAGTGGGCGTTGTCTCGAGCAAAATGTTTGAAGTAGGTTTCAAAATAGCCCAGACGCTGCGAAAGATTGCGCAAAGGTGTGGGATGGGTCAACATGTCGAATGAAGGATACTCTCAGAGGTGGGCGTACTTATCACATAAGATCATAACTCGATTTAGCATTTGACGGGAGCGTCGAGACCAGAAAAAAAGAACGAAATATGCAAGGTCTCATGCGTGCCGGACATACTAAACATGTCGAAGAGTTCCGCCCACAGTGGGGGTGGGGTGCGTGAATTCATATGTTAGGTCCTTTTTAAAAAAAACTCATGACTACGTTGAAAAACGTTCTACAACGTTGAAAGTAAGTGGTTAGAGTCTCTAGAAGAAGTATTGTGAAATGCCTGAAGTGGGCTGGGCAGAGATCAAAAATTCATAACTCTGTTCGAAAATGTTATAGAACGAGGGAAAAAAGTAGTTGGAGGCAAGAGAAGAGATGTGGTCAAACACCTGACATGACTCGACACAGGGATGGATGGAGTTAAGACAGAAAAATCATAACTATAATTGAATACGTTCTAGAACGTAGAGAAAAAGGTAGGGGCAGCTGAAAGAAGATTGGCCGAATTTTCATAGGGGGTCTACAATGAGCTTGACAGTACTTGCCCTGTTGCCACGTGTTAGCGTGCATAGCCCAACTGGTAGAATAAGCGTTGAGGATGCAGTGTAGCGTACCTGCAACGGAATGCATCGTGTAGGGTGGCTTTTTGAGAGCAAGTCATGTAGTGAGTTCGAGATCAATCTTGGCCGTGATAGAAATTGTTTCCTGTTAGAGAGATAAGCACTTTCGATTGTTTTTTCCTCGTGGATGTGTTGCTTAGTGTGCGTTCGAAAAGGTTGGCTTTGTGATCAAGTGTGGACACGAGAAAGAAAACCACCCTGTCAAACAAACAAAAACCAAACAAAAAATTTTTGTTAATCGCTGCCTTACTTCAGAATATATGTTTTGTGTTTTCTCAACTCTGATACTAAATGTTTCGTAGTGAAATGAAGTACAAAATTAACCCTTTTTTTCCAGCGGGGGCAACTCCTTCCGTCATCGACCACATCATGTGCGGATTGTTATAACCGATGACAACACCGACGGCTCTGACTTATAGTGGTTCTGGCAATGCCACCAGTAGTCCAACTTTGAAAATACCACAGGTGAGCGCTCTTTCTGAGGGTCTTACGTTATTTACTAGTTGAGAACACATGCCCACTACACATTCTCCGTCTCCTGGGATCGCTGCACTAGGGGATAAAAAAAGGAGTCGCATCTATTAAAAACGGCCGTTTGCAAACTGATTTCCTTTTTACAAAGTCTAGATGTTCTGACCCGAAGATCACGCCGACTCATCCAACTTCTCGAATGTTTTTCCCCATACAAACGGTATTTCCCCTCATCACCCCACCATTCGACATTTGAGAGGACATTCATCACAACTGCAAAACGTGTGCTTTTATTTAACTTACTATGATACATCATCATCCAATAACATAGCGGTCATATCACACTGTTTCAGTAGGAGGCAAGGAAGTGTAGGGGTACTACGGGTCGTTGAACAAGGGTAGGTAGAGTATTACAGCAGCAAGCTTGGGAATAATGTGAGAACACCATATGAGAAGATAATAAATATCAAAGTCTTGAGGCGTTGATCAATCTCGTCTGGAGGATGCGCCCACGCATTTGATTCCCATTCAGAATCGTAGTGTGTATCAATGAGTATGAGCCCTACACAGTGACTTGGGGTGGCCAGCAAATGTACAAATTAATGCTTTTTATATTTCCAACGAGTCTGGTACCAATTAACGACCCCTCGAGAGCGGAAGGCTTCGCTGACCTAGGCAGATATCGATCCGGGATTCGGACTCGTGACCGTGCGTGTGAGATAGTGCGCCACTCGCCGCTGGCAGTTGTAATAGTAGTGACGTGTGATGAATGAAAAGGAAAGAAGCACATTTGTGAGACTTGTGGTAAAGTCTGTTGAATCAAAGGAAGAAAGGATGGATCAAATGACGCACAAAACTGGAGAAAACTGGTAAAGCATCATGCAAAGGTAGCACCACTGCCTCGGCTGGGCAAAGTTATGAAGACAAATAACATTATAGAGCCAAAATTAGAGCGTCGAAATTCGCAGTATCAAGAAGTCCTGAGTGGGATTTAAGGATCAGTAAAGGCGAGCCCTCCCGAGCTTTTATAGTAGTATCCGCAAGAGGAATATTGAATGTGCGCTGAAAAAGAACTCGCGTTTTCTTGTTTTCATTACAGACAGGTGCAAAATAAAGTTTTTTCTCGAGTCAAATAATCTGTGAATTGGGCTCCTCACTTTTGCAATATTAGACGCTGAATCGTGTAAAAGCTGCAATCTGAAAGGTCGATTTTGAGGCCTACTATCAACTACAAAGAGTTATTTCGTTCTAGCCTGAGAGGATAGCCTCGGAATAGATAGGTGGACCATCCTGGACGACAGTGAGCTTTCTATAAAACTTTTGAGGCTACCGCTATCATACATCAAGGCTTCTTCTGTTGTATGGTTCGCTAAATCAGAACAACATGCTCTTATGTATTGGCCACCCCTCGATTCCTAACCAATCAATTGAACGCTCAACGGTAGCAATCATTCAACGGTTGCAATCGATTCTGTATCAGATGTTGTGCACTGGTACATAGACCACCCTGAGGCAGGAACTTGTCTCGGTGGTTCTCTGTGGTTTGGCTCGATTTTTTGCTTTATCTTCTTTCAAGGGCTCTAGAGTTCCCAGACAGCAGCGTGGAATCCTTATAAAGCGAAGAAGGGATGATGATGGGTGCACTTCCGAGACAATGACCATCACACTGTGGCCTTCATCGGTAATCTGTTTGGAACCTTTCGTTTTGAGTCTTGGCATTTCACGCGCAAATAAAGCGTGGTTGAATTGGCGTTCGTTGACTGGCGTTGTCTGCGATAGTAACATCCCTAGACATTTCAAATCCAAAATCTACAGAACCGTAATCCGGCCGGTCGGGTGCTGGCCTGTGACCGAAATGTTGAAGACCGTCTCAGTATAATGGGAACCAAGATGCTACGCTGGACAGTCGGAGTAACACCATTAGACCGCGATAGTAATGACATCATCAGGGAGCGATTCTGTGTAACGCCGACTGTCGATAAAAAGCTCGAAGACCGTTTTGGATTGCGAGATCATGTTCTTCGTGCGAATGACGGCGTTTCCGTCGGATTGGTCTCAACATTAAAAGCAGCAGGGAAGGCGCCCGAAGCAGCGATGGCCCGATACGTTGGACGGAGACTTGAAAACGGTCGAAATCCGCCCTGATCAAATGTTGACGTGGGCCAATCCCATGAGTCGCAAATAAATAGCATAGCGGACTTCGGAGTCAGCCATTCTTACTACATACATATACGCGCTCGCGTCTGTCTGCCTGTCTGTCACAAAATTCGATATCAATTGGAAAAGTACCGGGAGAGATCGGATCATGTTTAGCATTGGTTGAGCCTGTGGTAAGTGCAATAGAGCACATGTAAACCCAGCGGAGCTCCGCGGAGCATGCGCCGGAGTCGAGCGATAGGCAACACTTTCTAATTCGGCCTCATAACAATCCCGACGTCGGGGAAAAAGAACAAAGTGAGGGATGGGTCAATATATGAAAAGAATTAGATGCCCTGGCAGTGGGCGAAGGTTCTCGCACTGAGCGGTACCTCCGATATAGCCTCATAACTCTAATCGACGGAGGCGTGGAGGACAGAAAAAAATAAAATGAATCAGAAGCCTCACACGTTCTGGGCATGAAAATTTTAGCGAACCAACAGTGGGCGGAACGTAAGTTGGTTATGGGGCCGCTTTAATTTTAGATATACCTCAATTCGGAAACTTCAAAGATCGCGGGAAAGAAGTGTGTAGAGGTGATAAAAGAAAAAGGGCGCGGCTTGCACCAAGCGGGCGGAGTTAGGATCAAAAGTTCACAACTCTGTTCAAACATGTTCTAGAATGCGGAAAAAAGTGATTGGAGCTTATAGAGGAAATGTGATTAGGTTCTAGAACTTGAATAGGCGTGCGCTGAGTGGGCGGAGCTAAGACCAGTGTGGCAGTAATTTACTAGGAACTAAGGAGCAGCGAATGCAGTTAATTGCGGGGTCTGCACTGGGGTAGGTGGGTCTATAACTGAAAATTAAAACCCTGTTCAAAAACGTTCTAGAACGTATGAACAAAGTGATTAGAGGGTATAAGAGAATTTTGATCAAGTCTTCAAAGTGGGGCCGGAGCTCAGATCTACGAACTACAAGATTTATGACTCTGTGCGAATATGACCTTGACGTTTCAAGATCGCTCTTTAATGACGATGGAGTCATCGTCATTAAAGGCACCGTTCACGATAAAAAAAGTTATTAAGTTCTTACCTTATTAATACTCAGCGGCCCCCATGGGTTGTAGAAGGGACCCTCTCACTCCCCCAATCTCGACGTCCGGGGCATAGTGGCAACTCCATTGTTGCCGTAGTTCGCGTGCCCGCCCCTCGATCGGTGTCACGTTAGACGAGTGTCGAGACAATACAGATTGCTATTATTCGTTCTAGGACCCACGCACAATCAGCTAGTCGCCGAGTGATGAGGCGATGTTTTTCTCCCACTCTTTTTTCCTCTGTTTTTCTTTTTGCTGCCGCGATCCCTTATTCAATTTCCTACACCTAGAAGCTG